GAATGCAAGCTGGTGCAACCACTCTGGAAAACAGCATGGAGGTTCCTCAAAATGTTGAAAATAGAACTACCCTATGACCCAGCAATTGCACTACTGCGTCTTTACCCTAAAGATACAAATGTAGTGATCCGAAGGGGCACGTGCACCCAAATGTTTATAGCAGCAATGTCTACAATAGCCAAACTATGGAAAGAACCTAGACGTCCATCAACAGACGAATGGATAAAGAGGATGTGGTATATATACACAATGGAATACGATGCAGCCATCAAAAGAAATGAAATCTTGCCATTTGCGACGACGTGGATGGAACTAGAGGGTATCATGCTTAGCGAAATAAGTCAATCGGAGAAAGACAACTATCATATGATCTCCCTGATATCAGGGAGAGGAGATGCAACATAGGGGGTTAAGGGGGTAGGAGAAGAGTAAATGAAACAAGATGGGATTGGGAGGGAGACAAACCATAAGTGACTCTTAATCTCATAAAACAAACTGAGGGTTGATGGGGGGAAGGGGTTGGGAGAGGAGGGGTGGTGTTATGGACATTGGGGAGGGTATGTGCTATGGTGAGTGCTGTGAAATGTGTAAACCTGGTGATTCACAGACCTGTACCCCTGGGGATAAAAATATATTATATGTCTAAAAAAAATAAAATTAATTAAAAAAATAAAGGTTTGGTAAAATGAGAGGTAAGAAAATACTTCATGATTTTAATTAAAACACAACTGCAGCAATGGAAAACTTCTGTATTCAGTCAACATTACCATGCCTAGCTTTAGTGATCCAGACTGGCCAAAAGAGTCATTCAAAAGAAACACAAGTTTCTATAGCCAAGAACTGTACCTTTAACTTTTGGCTAGCAGGTGGATTATATGGGTTATATATCCATGGAAAGATATTAACACTGATAAAAAATTCAGGGCATGCTCACTGTTTAACACATGAATGTTATCTTCTACTGCATGTTGACCATACTTTACCACTAGATGGCGAATTTAAAAAAATTTCAGCTTTGCTGGGGTATATAACTGACATACAAAATTGTAAGATATTTAAAGTCTACACTGTGGTGGTTTGATATAAGTACACATCATGAAATGCTTCTTCTCCTCTAGTTAACTATTTATCTCGCTTTTTTGGGGATTAAGGCAGAGTTGTATCATACATGACTTCAATATTGCCTAAATTTATGATTTGTAACTAGAAAATTCTCCCCTAATATTTAAATTTATATATATGGAGAGGTGCAAAAGACAGGGAAATTTTATTTTAAAAGCTAGTAAAGCTCCCTGTGTATTTTATAGAACACTGCTCTTGCAGAAAGCTGCTACACCGTCACAAAGAGCTCTTCCTTCTAGAATCTATTTTGCTTACTGTGGAATAGAGTTTTGTTTTAGCTTTAGTTCTCCCCTACAACAGTGGCATATCAAAGTAAGTGGATGGGTGCTTGCTGTTCTCCTCTGATGCTCTTGATAGTAGTGATATTTTGGAATATTTATCTAATAAATGCCTTATTCTCCAAAGCTGCTTAAGACAAAGGGAAAAAATTTAAAGTTTAAACATAGCTTTATTCCATGACTCATGAGACAAAGTATTTAGAAGTTGAATTTCACTGAAATTATAAACATCTGTTCTGTGAAAGACACTATCAAGAGGATGAAAAAAAAGCCACACACTTGGAGAAAATATTTGCAAAAGACACATATCATACATAAAGTACTGTTATTCAAAATATAAAAAGAACACTTAAAATTCAACAATAAGAAAGCAACTCACCTAAAAAATGGCTCCAGAACATTAAGAGGAACCTCCCCAAAGAAAATATAAAGATAGCAAATAAACATGTGAAAAGATGCTCCACATCACATGTCATCATGAAATCAGAAATAAAAACAAAAAAAGATCCTACCACTACACATACAATTGAAGGACCAAAATCTGGAACGCTGGCAACACCAAGTGCTAATGAGGATGTGGGGCAACAGGAATCCCTCACTCATTGCTTGTGTGAATGCAAAATGGTACAGTTGCTTTAGAAGACAGTTTGGCATTTTCTTTCACAACTAAACACTTCTTACCATACAACCCAGCAATCACACTCCTTGGTATTTGCCCAAAGGAGGTGAAAACATGTCTACACAAAAACCTGAATGTCAATGTTTATAGCAGCTTTATTCATAATTATCAAACCTGACTGCAACCAAGATGTCCTTTAGTAGGTGGATAGACAAACTGTTGTACATCCAGACAATGAGCTAGAAGGATAAAAGTTATTAAGACATGAAAAGATAAGGAGGAAGCTTAAATGCACACTATTAAGTAAAATATGCCAATCTGAAAAGGCTATATGCTGGATGACTCCAATTATATGATATTCCAGAAAAGGCAAAACTATGGAGACAGTAAAAAATATCAGTAGTTTCTAGGGATTCAAGGGAGGGAAGGATGAATAGACTAAACACAAGGGATTTTTAGGACATTGAAAATACTCTGATATCATAATGGTGGATTCGTGTCATCATACATTTAGTCAAAACCCACAGAATGTAAATTATGGACTTTGGATGATTATGATATGTCAGTGTAGTTTCACTGATGTTAACAAATGTACCATTTTGGTGGTTTACAGTGAGGGAGGCTGTGCCTGCTGGGGGGAGCCAGGAATATGTGGGAAATCCCTGTGCTTTCTACTCAGTGTTGAGAACCCAAAACATAAATTCTATTTAACAAAATTAAAAAAATATGAAACCTAAAACTATAAAACTTTGGAAGAAAACATAGGAGAAAATCTTTATGACCTTGAGTTAGGTAAAGATTTCTTAATTACAGCACAAAGTACCTGAATTATGAAAGAAAAAAACTGTCAAAGTGGACTTTAAAACCAGAAACTTCTACTTGTTGAAAGACACTGTTAAGAAGTCACAGATTGGAAAAAAAAATTTGCCATATTTGCAAAGCAAATGTCTTGATGAAGAACTTATATCTGGAATATATTAACTTCTTTCACATTTCAAGAACAGTAAGCAAAAAGCACAAAAGCACAAAACTTTTGAAAACTTCACCAAAGAAGATACACAGATGGTAAATAAGAATATGAAAAGATCTTTAATATCATTAAGCTAAAATTAACATCACTATGAAAAACCACTATATTTCTATTAGAAGGGCTGATGTGAACACAAAGTGATAAAATCAAGCACTGGAAAGAACAGAGAACAATAAAACTCACAAATTGGTGGAAATGCAAGATGGTAGAGCCAATTTAGAAAATGTGTGGCAGTTTCTTATAAAGTTAAAAAAAACCCACAACTTAAAAAAAAATCTTCTTCTTTTAGATATACGTACCAAAATATTAGATGGATGAAGTTATATGATGTCTGGGATTTATGCCAAAATTATCAAGGCAATAATGTGGCTGGGACACTAGATTAAATAAAGAACAAAAACCCACTTACCTTATCAGCAGCAATCTCACTCCTGGGTATTTACTCAAGAGAAAATACATAAATATGTCTACATACAAAGACATGTATGCAAATGTTTACAACACCTTTTCATAAAATCTCTCAAACTGGAAACAGCTCAAATGTTCATCAATTAGGAAATGTTTAATATTGTGGTACATCCAGACAACAGAATAATAGTGAGCAATAAAAACTGATACATGCAACAACATGGATGAGTCTCAGAAGCATTAAGCTAAATGAAAGATGCTAGACAAAGAAGGCAAATACATTATGACTCCATTTATAAGAAGTTATGGAAAAGTAAAAATTATAGAAACAAATTAGATTAGTAATTGCCAAGGTTTGGGTGTGGAGGAAGAGAAAGAACTACAAAGGTGCACAAGGAACTTTTTATCATGATAGAAATATTCCGTATTTTGAGTGTGATAATGGTTATATGACTGTATATGCAAAAGGTGAATTTTATTGTATGTTTCACCTCAATAACCCTGACTTTTTTTATAAAAGAGAAATAATATTATTTTTTGAGAGGAAGCGAGAGAGGGCAGGGTGGGGGAAGTAGGAGAGAGTATCTTAAGCAGGCTCCATGCCCAGCACAGAGCCCAAGAGGGGCTCTATCTCACAATCCTGAGATCACAACCTGAGCTGAAATCAAGTCAGACGCTTAACCAACTGAGCCACCCAGATGCTGCTCAGTCCAATACATTTAAAAACTTCCTCTCATTTCTTTCTCTCCCCTTACTTAGGGCTTACAGTGGAAAAAGGGCAGGCCCACTCCAGCTTCCAATCCCCCAGTGTTAGGGCAGGGAAGGAAGGCAAGACTACATACTAAGCACATTATTGCAGGTTTCTGCTTCTCTGGCTTACCCCAACAGACATTATGTGTGGGTGTTATCAAATATTTGCTTTCTTGAGAGTGATATGTGGGAATTCTTCAGAAGACCCTTCAGGGGCCACCCTACTGCACAAGTCTGTATTATGAAATAATTGTTTTGTCTTGACTCCTAACCCTCCTAACCCTACCACTCCTCCTCACTAATCTCTGTCTTTTTGCTTCAGGGCTGCTCAACCACTGGTCTGTACTAGGCACAATGGCTCAAATCTGGATCTTGTTCAAAGTAGCCCCTTGAACCTAGGAAGAATGTACATTTCTCTAAGTGGGAATGTGGGCTAACTCTACCACTAACTACCCTATCCTGCCATTTCTCTTCCTAATTATCTTTTCAAATAGGCACAAAGGGCTGCCAAAGCAGATGTTCCACCTAGAAATAAGATGCATTCTCCTTTTCTTAGAAGTACCTTCAATCCCTATAAGCCATTCTCTTGGTTTCAGAGTCCCTTAGGGAAAAGCCACTCTACTCCCCATTAGACTAATGACTCCAATTATTTTTCCTACTATTTTTCAAGAATGGGGGAAACCTCCCAAAGCTACAGCCTAAGCAGATATCCTAAAGGGAAAGGTATGCCAGTTTTCCTTCTTGTGAATAAAATGTTATGTATGAACTAACAAACATTTACAGGTCTACTTACCCTACTTCATAAGATGCTAGTCCCTCTTTGACTAGCTGGTCATTTATACTAGTAGGAGTCATTCCAGGAGCACCAAGAGAATCGAAAAGCTCAACCAAGAGCACATTATCTTCCAGAATTTCTGTAAAACATTAAGATGAGTTTGGGGAAAGAAATAAATATGTTGCAAAACATACTAAATGAAGCAATTTTTTAAAAAACTATAAACAATTACATTTTGCATACATGTGGGGTTTTTTGCCGAATAATACCAAAGTGTCTCAATAGGGGTAAAAGCAGCATTTTGCAAACAAAACAATCGTCCATGTTATCTGCAGCATATGCAAATTAATAAAATTTTCATTTTAGATTGTGTACTGTTCTATAACAGATCAAAAGCAGTTTAAAGCTTTTAAATTCAGAAAAATATAAATTGATGTATATTCATTGAAGAAATGTTCTGATGTGTTTTTAAACTATTTTACTGAGTTCGCCCAAGTTCCAGAGTACAAAAGAATGAAATTCAGGCTAGAGATTATCCGAGAAGGTTTACAGCTTTTAAAAGAATGGCACAAAGTTTACAACGAGAAAAAAAAATCTAGAATCCTCAATTAGAGATTGAAATCTGGATTTTTTCCCATGTGTTTAGGACAAACAATCTAATTTTTAATTTCTTTTAGAATACATAATGGTTACTTAAACACGTAGATCTATTTAGATCTATTTCTTAAACTAAACTGGGATTTTTACTATGGATAAAGTTTACCTCTCATATGCTTGTTTACTTACTTATGGTACATAGCACAGAGAACCTGCCTAATATGTGTTTGAATAAACAATAGAGTAATTTCTTTAGGAAACACATACTTCAGTGTACTAAAGTATACACTGAATACACACTTCAGTACAGGTTATGCTTACACCTTCTACACAATAGCAGCTGGTAGCTGCCGGTCAGAATGATGATTCAAAAAAAAAAAAAAAGATGATTCCAAATAACACAAAGTGTTACCACAGCATACTTTATTATCTAGTCATAAAAATACATATTAGGTAACCTTTCTCAAGAGCCTAAAATGATTCCTGACTACTTTTCAATGGACCAGATATATCATCTAAAAATAAAAGGCTAAGCAATGCTACACCTCAATTAATTTTCATCTTCTTACTTTCTATGTCTTGTGGTCCCATTAGTTCTTTGTCTTCATATTTCCCATACATAGAGTTCTTTATCGCAACAGGGCCAACTTTCTGTATGTTCTGTACCTTTACCAACTTCCCTGCTCTGCTAATTAAAATTTAAATATCCCAGGGCGCCTGGGTGGCTCAGTTGGTTGAGCAGCTGCCTTCGGCTCAGGTCATGATCCCAGGGTCCTGGGTTCGAGTCTTACATCAGGCTCCCCCTGCTCTGCAGGGAGCCTGCTTCTCCTTCTCCCTCTGCCTGCTGCTCCCCCTGCTTGAGCATGCGCTCTCTCTCTCTCTTTCTCTGTCAAATAAATAAATAAATAAAATCTTTAAAAAAAATTTAAATATCCCTTGCTTTATAAGGTAACAATGCTCCCCTTATCATCTATTATTAATGTCTTTAACTATCAATCTCATCATTGTGCAGGTTAATGGGGTAAGATCTTTTAGATTTAAGGAGTGCCAGAAAGCCCTGTTCAAATAAATTATCTAGCATAATAACCATGTTATGACTAGTGTTTGGATGTTATTGGTATAACAGGTAATTAAATGAGTAAGAAAAAGAAGGAATCAAAAATCAGTGGAGATTACTCAAGGACTAAGAAGCCCTTAATTTACTGCTCGCATCAAAGAAGCCAGATATAAAAATGTTATTGACTAAGGATGTAACCTTAATCTGTAACCACATTCTTCTTTAAACAAACCATTTCTTCAGAACAATTTCTCATATCAACAATGTGGATAAATTATCACTGATATATCATTAGTTCCCAGTTATGTAACTTTGAACTGCTGATCGCTAAGCTTTAGTCTCCTTACTGTAACAGAGGCTAACCCTCTTCTGGTGATTGGGTTCATTTAATGGTAGTATGACAAAAGTGAATAAATAGATATAGTAATCTTGTGTGTTCTGTACTAGCACTTATTAAGACCAACTATGCCAGAAAAATAACAGACTCCCACCACCCCCAACCCCTGCATCCAAACCCCTTGGGGCCAGACAGATTTCAGAACTTCAAATTGAGAAAAGCTACATAAAATATATACTGCCTATTTTATAATACCCCCCAGCAAGATTCCAAGGCAGCAGCCTACAAACACATTACTATCCTGAAATGGAATATATGAATATTCACTATAAAGGAGATAAAGACTATATATATCTTCATGTCACTTCAGATCAGGTTTTGCTAGTCAACTTTTCATTTTCAGAACATGCTGGGTTACAAAATTGTGAGCTAGTGGTCAGCCTGTATCTTAGGCCCAAACTAGTCCAAAAAAGAAATGACTTTTTTTAAAATATGGGG